CTAGGCGATGCTAAGACTCAGTTAACACAGAGCAGAGCCCACACGCACAACACCAGCAGCCGGTCTGTCCAGCGGCAGGTCTCAGGTGTCTGGGACTGTGCCCTGCGGAGGTCTGTGTGTCTACGGACTTGGACTTCTGAGAGTCGAGTCAAGCCAACACAACCTCAGAACATCAGACCAGTCATCGATCAGATTCTCAGTAATGAGTGTCTGCCAAGATGTCAATCCCCATCCTTGATGCCAACGTCTTATTTTTTCAGCTTCCTTTTGTTTTGCTTTAGCTGTGTGACTGAAAAATGAAGGCACCACATGGCCCTAGAGTTTTCCATGGCAGCAGCATCACATTAGAGCAAGATGGACCCACCTGCTTAAAAGTCTCACGAATAGCCCAGTTGGGGTCCAAGGTCACTGCCTTCAGCATAGGGACGTACTCAACACTCCCGAAGGCCAGCAGTGGCTGTTTGAACCCCCTGAATGGCAGGGGGCATCAGAGAGGGTATGTGGCAGGCAAGGGCGCATGGGTGAGTGAGCCCTTGTCCACCCCCTGTGAGTACCAGGGGTGCCTCTGGCAAGTCAGGCTCTAGCCATCATTCTAATATAGAGATATAAAAAAGTGGGGGGGACTATAATAAAAAGAGGCCTTTAATTAAATGAAATTACCACTCTGGGATCAGGCCTTCATGCTTGTCAGTGTGCTCTCAAAATAAACATCTCAAAACTGGGCTCGGTGGTGTCACTTTCTCACAGGCAAAGCATACTGGGTAATCCCCAGGCATCTGACAGCTACATAATGTTCAAACTGTTTCACGGGTGAATGGCGGCCTTTGCGTGAAAGAAAATATTAATGTCTGGAATTCATAGAAAAAGGGAGCAGGGTTTACAAAGCCAAAGACGGAAAGAGGGTGTCAAGTGAGGGCCGCGTTAATTGTTAGGGAACATCTGAGAAAGGGGGAGCACTGGCGGTTTTCTCTGGGAGCCTAAGTGGCTGGCTGTCAGGGAAGTGACAACTCAACTAGGCAGGTTCTGAAAGGGGGTCGCTGCTCAGGAATGCGGTGCGCAGACGACTCGCAGGACGCGCTGACACCTGCGTGGGTGGACTTTAACCTCTTCCATGGGAGCTTCCCAAACAATGAGGCTCTTTGCTAGACGGAGGTGGCCAGTAGGTGGGGAGGGGAACGGAGAAGGAGCTCGGAGACCAGACACGGCCCTGCCGTGTGGGCCTCAGGCCGGCACAGGGCTTCGAGTAGAGAAGCTCCGGGCAGACCCCGGGGTCTGAGCTGCCCATTCCCGGTGACAGCCACCGGGCCCCACAACGCCAGGAGAGACAAAGCCGTTCTGGGGCTCCCCGAGCTTACTGCAGCACGACACCCCTGGCAAATGTGTGATCGCCCTCACTGCCGCTTGTGCTCCCCGACCCTGTGGAAGGTCAGGACGCCGTGGTGGGACGCCAGGCCTGCTCACACCATGGGTGCCCGGCACTGGTCTTCTGCACTGGCGGGCAGCGGACACCTCACAAACCCAAGGCCAGGCCCATCGGTAAGAGTCACAAGAGAAGTGGACTCAGGTGCCGTGAGCTCACAGGTGGAGATACCCACGCCAGGAGAGGAACCAGGAGAGCTGAGGAAGGAGATGGGGATGCATCCACATGGCGAGGACGGAGGTGGGTCGGCAGGAAGATGGGCATGGGCAGCAGGAGGCCAGGGGCCGGGCTGAAAAGCCCAGCGGGAGCAGGCGTCGCCGGCCTACTTCCGGCTACCTAGAAGTTAGGGGGATCAAACCTTCTGAGAAATAAGTTCAAAAGGCAAGCTCATCGCGGAGGCTCAGGGGTCTTAAAGAAAAGCAAAACAAGGAGTTTGGTTTTGGGGGTAAGAAATACAGCTTGGACTTCGTATTCCCGGCCTCTTTCTTTACATTTTCAACAATGGAACATGACTTTAGAAATAGGATAGGAAAGGAGAAGACACGACCCCTTTCCTCGTCACTTTCCCTCCTTCTCTTCCTGGGTTTCTGGGGTGTCACACAAGGCTGCTCTGGCCTCCGACGCCGCCCCATGTGGGCTGGCCTCACGGTCTCCCCGATCAGAAGCAGCACCAATTCTCAGGGCAGGCAGGGTCATCTCCTGCAGAGATCTCCCCCGTGCCGTGGCTGCCTTTACATAACTGGGCACATTTACCGACACTTACGCCCTTCTGATTGTTCTTTTAACTGTTGTTTGAACACAACAGTCTGCTTCCTTCTCTGACTCTGGTGCACACAAGTGGTCATGTTCAAAGAATAATTTTTAAGATTATTTACGCATACAGAACTGGGGTACAGGCCAGAGGCTCAGGGGCGGTGAGAGGATTCACCAGACAGAGTGGGGAGCAGGACAGGCAGATAGACGAAGCACACTGCTGAGGGGAGCAGCGGGCAGACAAGAGTTGTCTGCTGCGCCATGTGGTCACCTTCGGGGTGGAGATTGGACTCTCACCAAAGTGGCTGCGGCCAGCTTGCAGTGCTGCGCTCTAACCCGCTGCGCCACCAGGGAGGGCCCAAAGGGAATTTTTAACACTAGAACTTCTGGGTAATGCGTATGTGTACCCTCTGATTCTGACAAACGTCTTCAGTTTGTCCTTCCAAAGCCTGCCCAATTCGCACTCCCCCAAGAGTGTACACTCGGGGCCTCCCTGGCGGCCTAGGGGTGCAGCCTCAGCACTGTCACCACTGAGGCCTGAGCACGACGCCCCGGCCAGGGAGTGACCCACAGGGCGCAGCAGACCTCTCCTGTCTCCCCGCTGCTCCCCGCAGCAGAGGATTTCTGTCGATCCACCTGTTTTGTTCCCCACTCTGAATCTGGAGAGTCCTCTTAGCCCCACTCCCTTACCCCTGCACCTCTGACTACACCCCAATTCTTCTACACATCAATAAACATTTTTATAAAAATAAAAAAAGCCAACAATTCAAGAGTAGCAAATATATTCTGTGCTTGTTCTCTGTGCCACTGAGTGTCCCAGTCCTGTACAGCAGTGACCCTGGGAAAATGGTATCTCCACTTTTCTAATAGTTTGAATAAAGCTTAGGCTCTTTCCTATTTTGGTGACCTAGATTTCTCTTTCTTTATGAAATTCTCTTTCATACCAGGTGCCCATTTTTCTGTGGGTTCAAGCTTGTCTTTTGCTTACAAATCAGAATGAATCCTTAATTATGGAAACCAGCCATTGACTGCATGTCTTGTTATAATTTATTTAAACTTACATAACAATTTCCTGCAATATGTTATTTTTATTTAGTCAAATTGGCCAACATTTTATTTAAGGCTTCGTGTTTAACACTCTGCTTGTAAGAATTTTTCTCACTGTAAGATTTTAAATTAGTTCAGCCATGTTTCTTTCCACGGATTTCGTCCTTTTTTATTTGTTCCACTTAAGTCTTAGGCCCATCTGGAATTATTTTAGTGGGAGGAGGGAAGGTTTACTTATGATCAGGAGAGTAAAATGATCAGAGCCAAGCTTTAGAAATATAAATCTGGCAGCAGCTTATAATTTAGAAGGAAGA